TGTACCGTATTGTTTATAGTATATATTTTTGTCAACAATTCCATGTAAACTTTCATTTTTTTATTTTCAGGATTTTAATATTTTATTCCAGGACATAACACTATTGCCTCACACATTAACCCGGAAAATTCATTAGAAAACAAAAGAATCAATAATTTAGGCATTTCATGTCCAGAGTAGAAACCAACAAGTTGATCACTATTTTGGTTTAAAATTAACATTGTTTTTTGAAAACAAGGTTCAATTCGATGAGAGATATTCACGGAATATATATTAAAATCAGCACGGTTTAAATAGATTTCAGGTTTAACTTTATTCTGCATAGACAAGAAGTTTTTGTGATGCGGTTATGTTTTAAACACAGTCTTGACACAGGAATAAAACACGTATTAACACCTCTTTTCGTTGATTGAATCTTATCGACTTAAGACTAAGAGTGTTTATGATAATGCTTTAGATTTATTATCTCTATTTAATCACGTCAAATTTGTTAAGAAAATAATTTTAAAATCCTTAATTTAGTCTTTTTTGTTTTAAACCATTTCAAAAGATTAGGCTAAGCGATTAAAGAAGATACTTTCAGATAATACGTGTTGACAGTCAACTAGTCAATGACAACTTTGTCTTGATGTGTTTATTGAAACACTTAATCGGTGCATGCTGTTATTAATTACATTAACTGATACTTTTTAGCATAGTCATATCATCAACATGTGTAATATTTTAACTGAAGTTTTATTGTAGAACTTTTTTTGTGAAATTGTTTCATTTCAGTATATTAATATATTGTTGAACACGCCAAAGTCATGGCTTTGATATTTCTAGGATATGGTAAGGTCATAAACAAATGAAATATTGTGTGAGTGTCTTGCATGAGTACTTTGTTAAGCTTCGAGTTGTGAAATGTTTTATCATTATCACCTGTCCTCATCAATCATCATATCTACAGCGTATACAGTTGTACTGCTCGCTAATGTTTGAAATTTATATTATTTAGGCATTTTAAGCACCCTCTCTTCTGTTTCAACAGTAGTTTAGACCTATTTGAATTGCTATCCTTTTGACCCTTTAGCATCAGCGATGACTCCTATGGGTACTAGGGGGTATTCGAAGTAAGAAAGGAGTTAGGCACTTGTACTGGGGACCAAAACGCCTTATGTAACATTGTTACTAGTTCGCATCGGTTTGAATGTTTACCATTAAACTGTAACATAAACAACAAGGATAACTTGATTTAACAAACATTTGATAGTACAATTTCATATATACGTATATGGCGGACGTGGCTATAGCGAACTATTATGTGACGTCATGGTTTATGACGTCACGACATATACTTCAAATAAACAGTCTGAAGAATCTCCTAGAAGAGATGAAAGTACTAAAGACTCGTTGTTAAGAACTTTTCTTTTTATAAGATTTCTTCGTCCGTAAGGGTCATTTTTCTGATTTATAATATATATATATATATATATATATATATATATATACCCATTGTTTATTTGGACACAAGGACCACATGAAGTATATCGAAAAAGAGAAATATTTGATTTATCTCATTTAGTATTCAAAACATTGTTTTATAAAGTACAGTCATGTATGTCATACTCCAGCCGTGTTTTCGTTGGGATGATATACAAGGTACACCAGACACTCAACCCAAGAGAGAAAAACACAAAAACAAAAGGGAAAGCAAAATGAATATTCAAAGAATTATCAAGTGGTGCAGGTGTTCTTGTATTTCTGTGTTGTAAATGCCAAGTATGGATCTATGTTGTTGCTTCAGTCTAGCAAACAATAATCGTTGCATTGCATTTACGTGATACAAGCTATTGCCATGGAGCTAGTTGCCTTCACAATATACTGCTCTATTTTTCTAAGACGTTTGTCACGTTGTCTGATCTCAGAATATTTATTAATTCAGTATTTGCTCTAATAGTAATTCTTACTTCAGAATATTATTCTGTTAAGTCTTTGCTTAAATTGGAAGAAAATCATCTCGTGCTTCTTTTTCAACCAAGTTTTAACCTATTCTTTTGAAATATGCAAATAAATGAACATGCTGGTAATCAGGATTTCTATCATTTTATCCCAAAGTACACTTCCTTGCACCTAAACCATACGTCATTTTAAACAATAATATTTCTGCTTGTCTCCATGCCTTCATTGTAATTATAAGGCTAGAAAGATAGATACTGTTACTAATCTATTCATAAGTGCTCCTCTCAATAACACAAATCAAGATGATGTTCACCTCTTCAATCCAGAAAGAAAAGTAGTAAAATTATGTTTACCTAGAAAACGTGTTAAATTCCACAGCTTCAATGTATGGAAATTAATTGCATATATATATATATGAATAGCGATGACCCAGTTGCTAGAGAATTTAAAGATTTTTTTTTATAAGATCCCTCAAACCTAGCATGAATACACAGTGTGTTGAACTACATGTTTTTTTTCTGTCCTGGTATTATTTATGTCGTCACTATGACTGTCTATTGATGACGTCACTAAAATTGTTTACACTGCAACAATGTATGACGTCATGTAACTAATGGTTACTACTAAACATCAGTCCGACTGAAGAAGCGCAATAAGGCAGAAAGGCCTAGAGGTCAGGCTTGCGCACTTGTTGTTACATGTTTATTATATCTATTACATATCATAATATCTGAGTGTCCTACGAATACCGGTCTTTCCTTTAACAGTAGAAAGTTTCTTCACCCTTGTGCCTTGTCATATCCGCTCGATGTTGAAAATGATGGATATCTATTGAAATGTAAATGTGAGGGGAAACCGCCCAGTAGATTTGCCTTTTATCTCCGGGTGATTTGTTTTTAAATATTACGAATTCATTATGGATTTCAGTATTTTATTCATGCATTTTAATAAAGTTCGTTTTCTATGCAGCATTATTAAATTTAATAAAATCCAGTAGCATCAATAGTGTCTTCTATTCTTCCTTTTTTTCTGGCACTGAAACGTTACAATTGTCTGTTTTCGTTCAGATTGCTCCATTGGTGATTTTGAAATAATTATGAGAAAACGTTTTGTGACTTTATTGTAAAGCACGCTTTCTTTTAATTTTTTTACATTGTCACGCTGTTTTTCGATTTACCAGAGTACTTAGTTAGCAAGAGAGCTGGTGTAAATTGAAACATGGCACGCAGTGCTATTTATATGTTATACACTTGTGTATACATATCGACACTTCAAAGTAGATTCCAGTTCCTTAAATGTTCGTTAGTCCAACTTGTTATTGTATCAAAAACATTTTTCAAAATCTGCATTTCATCGCTTCATTTTAAAATTGATATATGTTTTCATTTTCTAACTGTGGCCCTTGTCAATTTAGAATGTATATCATCAATTTACGGTAAACGTTATTTTGAATATCACATTTCTACAAAACACGCGTGTGCTTAGCCAACTTTTGAACAACGAAGGCCACGGAGGATGAACAAACAAGAAGTAGTCAGCTAAGTCCATTGTTATGGCGTACTCCGTAAGTTCAAGAAATAAATAAAATTTTAAACAATCAACGTCATAAGTCAAGAATATCCAAACGAAATAGAGTCGCATGTCATCGACAATGATTATCGCTAGTATGAACGTGGCAAGAGCTAGAAATCAATTTATTCTTTTTGTCATTTAAAATGAACGCTTAAACGTTTTAGACATTCTTCGGTTTAAAAACCATGAAATATGCTAACTATTCTTAATTGGTCTAATTAGAACCAGAGGTAGATTTTACGGAATGTGGCGTTAGCAAGGCACGAGATGATGAGTAAGAATTTCCAAGTGGACGAGGTACATGTTCCTTTCTCCAAAATCTGCCGATACATCTGTGAGTACGTGGGCAACCATATAAGAACTGAAGTCAGCTTTCAATATGGTTCGTTTAATTAAAAAAATCGAAATAGAACGAATAAGACCGACGAATAAAAGACTTAATTCAAACTTTTTGTCTAAGCTTTGAAACATTCGATAATTTGAAGAAGATGTGCTGAGACTAAAGTACCACTGTGTACAAAAAGCAACTGCACAGATGGGTGTCAAGTCTGAGGAAAAGACCGATCCTCGTTTATTACGTAAATTTCACACAGATACATATATAAATATGTATGGGTGGTTTATATATCATTCTTTTAAATCGTTTCGCCATTTCTGGAATAGATGTTCAAATGTGCATCTCCCCAAAGAAAGACATTCTGATCATTACGATTAACCCCTTCTTAATTTACTGAAGGAGAATGTATTGTGAACAATGAAAAAAGAAATTAATTATTCAATAGAACTTTGTACTTGTTGTATACCTTGTTTATCTCCTAATTAAGGGGATATAGTTTATTCATTTATTTATAACAAAAGAAAATGTCCAAGAAATCGTTGACATTGCATGGTTAATCCTTTAGTGTGATATTGCTCGAAGGTGCATAGCGAGCTTTTGGTGGACTATTAATGAATACCTTTATCTTTTAAACTTAAATTTGTTGTATCTGAATGATAATACAGTATAAGTGATAAGCAATCAATTATCAAAGCAATACTTTCATCATATCTTTTAAAAATTACTTCTACTAAAACATTCTACATTGCTAAGGCAGATTTCATACATCAATCTTTCACTGAAGTAAAAAAGAAAAGTCTGAGGAATGCATCGTTTAACGTCTACCTGTCTACTGGTTTTAACCAAAACGTCAATCCATCAATCAGACAGATGAAGTTAAAAATATCGATACATGGACATTCCTCTCAAATCACATCACACTTACGTATCTAGTGAATTGATCGGCAGAGAAAAAAGGCCGAAACTATTCCGAGATTTTTTTAAGACAATGAATGATTCTCCTATTCCTTATATTCCTATTCGTGGTCTTCTTCAGCAACTAGAACGTTTTTCTTTTTATTTCTCCCTCTCCTGGTCTTCTTTAGTTCTTAGCTTATTCTAACGGTTATCAAATGATATCGTTAACTATATAAAAAGAATAATTACAAGAACGTTTTTCGTTGAATTTAATTTGCATTGTGTTCATAGAAGCACGTCACAAAAACATCGTTCCGGTAGGATTAAGGTAAACAGCCATGAAAACAAACATTAAATAAGAACATAAATGCGTGATTATATTTTGACACAATGTCTGACATTTATTTAAACAAATACTAAGACAGACACATACATACAAGGGATGACCATCGCTGGGGTCAGTTCAGCAGTGGCCAGGTGTGGTCAGGCCACTGACAACACGTTACAGGTAGAAGACCAAACAGCCAAGTATATTGCACAAAGTCTCATCATGGAAATAGTGAGTAAGTAATACACACATTGTCGGAATTATAACATTCGCTTCTCGTCGATATCAACTTTGAAAATATGTTGAAAATGTTGCTAATCAATTTTATGTTGACTGAATTAAGATTATTCAAAGTTAGAATAAGATAGAAGATGACATACTTTTTATTCGAAGTTTGAATAAAGTAAGATATACTAACATATTTCAAAGGTATTTTCATAGGTTGTGTCATTGACATGTTATTGTAATTATAATTATTCATTTCTAAAAAATGTTATCCAAACAAAATATTTGCTTCAACATATTTTCTTTAAGAAATTACAACAATGAGCTAAATGTTACATCATCAATAGAATTTGACCAGGTAGAACCTGTAGAGGTACATATGTATGAGTTAATATTGGCCAGCAGTGGTCAGTAACGGTCAGTGGCTGTGATGAGAATGCACTGATATGTTATCGTCCGAATCCTCATCGTCACCATAATGACTTCTGTCGTCACCATGGTGACTAGCAACGTCCATCTCATTAGCACTATGACAATCATCAACGTCAACATCAATTTTATTGTCTTCGTTATTGACGCACACACTAGCACATCCTGGGCTATATACGGAAATGTCCGAACAATCATCGTCCTCGTCCGATGCGTGAGGTCGTTGTTCTACAATGAAGCCCACAGGCTGTGTGATAGGGTACAAAGGCATCATGCCTAGTCCGAGTGCGTTCACTGATTTACTTGCTTGCACACGAGGATACTTGGAGTTGGGACGACGCCCACGCGGGACTTTTGGTGTTTCTAACAAACTGTCTATACTAAACGAACACTTCCGGTCACCTGATTCTTCATCAGGATTTTCCATGCAAGGTAGTTCATTGTTACGACTCTCGGAGGCTGGGGATGATAGCCTATTGTCATTTTCACAACAGCTTTCGTTCTCAGAGGGACTACTTTCTGAACCAGAATGTAACATCGCGTTCCCATCTGAACCAACTTTATTGTCTTGAAGGGATTTACGTTTGTCTTCGAGCTTCCTTAGACGTTCCTCTTGTTTCTTGCGCTTTTTCTCTACCCGTTCCTGTTCCCTTTTCTTGATTTCATCAGGATCCATTGGCGCGCCACTCGCTGTTTGGGGCTGTGCATTGTGTGCGGGACGCCCAGGACCTTTCTTGGTATTCTCCTTCTTGCGCCATTTTGCACGTCTGTTTTGGAACCAAACCTGAAGAAAGAATTATTCTTATTAAAAACTTGAAACCAGAGTCAATAAAAAAAAAAAAAAATGCAAAAGACACACGTCAACAAATACTATTATATTGCATAGTTATCGTAGTCCATTACGCCATTCGTAAAATATAAACAATAGCAAATGTTCATGAATTGTTTGTCTTTGGAAGAATGAAAATTACAGTATCATCCACAATAAACTTAGTTGATTAGTTATCTTGAATAAATATTTGATATGCCATACTTGTTGTTTGTGCCACTAGAGCATTGACGCACATGGAGTGGTATAACCGCAAGTAACTACAGTCCTATAATGCTAACTGTTGTATTGTCATGTTCCCTTATGTTATTACCTACAGAAACTAAAACCATAGTACATAATCCGACAGCGTATGTTGTGTATATGTGTTTTGCATACCTATTCCTATGCACTTAGTGTACTAAAAAGGTGTGTCTTAACCAATGGAGACTATACACATTTTGCCGAGTGTTATTTTGACAGTGTGCTATGTTCAGCCGACTGACTCTCGTCCCCCAGGGCATCCATTACAGTCAGCTCATCTTTTGAAATCTAAATGATTTCAATCATGAAATCAAATTCAATTAAAACCCCTACCCAGGTGTAGGAATTCTAGCTACTACGATCAAGAGTGCCAGAATATGACACGGGCTACGCGATCTGATTTAACGCCACACATGGAGCAACATCTTAACTCATGTTTGCAGGTAAATTGGAAAACGCACGGGACCTCCATTTTGTGCAAATGACACGCTTTTTTTGTCTGTACATATATCGTCAACCGTAATCTTTTGACGCTTACCACAAGATGTAAAATCTCAAATGTGGAATGTTTAAACCATCATTATCTCAAAGCGGGAATCATAGAAATTTTCTCATTTAAACTTAAATAAATGTTTACTTAAATTATAATCTTTATTGACACTTTTATTTAATCGATCTTACTCCGGATTAACGACAATTTTAAAAAGAGATTGCTAAAAGCGTCAAATAAAAATTATCTTATCATTTTTTTTGTTTTCTATTTTCATTTTAAAAAAGAACGATACATTTCCATTTTAAGTAAATGGCAAATACGCATCAATTTCGCTTACAATAATATAACATTAATACAAAAACATTAAATGTATTCTACAGCTGTGTATAATGAATGCTAAACAATAAATCTAATGTTTATTATCTCATTGCACAGATTTTATTTTGTATATATCCATTTTCTATTCATTTACCTACAATTATTTAACAGATATATCACTCCCCCTCAGGGCAATTTTAAAATGTTCTAAACCTTTTATTATCAGACTTGATTTTCTTTTTAAAATGAAAAAAATGTTAATTTACACTCGCAATTTTAATTCGCGTTCAGGTACATTATTCATCAGGATTTAATAAAGATAACATAACAAAGTCGAATGCATAAAATTGCGACATTATTCAAGCGTGCAGTGATGATGGGAGTTTTATTGACAAAGTAACTAATATCTCATTTAATGACTTAAATTCGTTATTGTACTTTTACATTTGATGGGAAAGAAATGTTATTCTTGATGCTTGGTATAATGACATTACAGAACAGCCTCACGTGACATTTTAACCATGTCAATATCCTTAATGGGGAGAAACATACAACGCGGTGTACGTTACACCCATTCATCGGTCAGAATTAACACTCTGAAGCGAACGATTACTCGCATTCGCGATTCAGATCATTTACAAGTGGATGGTATACAAAAGAAGCTTTTTGACAAAGTTGCTCTTAATGTGTTTTCACCAGAAATGAGCGTCCATGTTTCTGAGTAAAGAATACAGCTAATATCTCGAGCTAATTTCATTTCTATGAATTGGTTATTTCAAAGTCTGATTTTAATATCAATTAGGTGTTCCTGTATATGCATTAAACAAAACAGATTTTTCATTATGGCAGATGTCATTTGGGTGTTAGGTTAAATAAAATTAAAAATAGTAAATCTTAAACTCTCAATTAGTTATAAATTGGCAGCAATAAATCTTCCTTTTAAAAATACTATTCTCATTAATGATGGATTCAGTTTGATTTCCATTATGAGTACTAAAAATAACATATCAAATCAGTAATTGTTAAATACTGGTGTAGCCCATAAATAACAAAAACTCTCGGGAAAAGGCAATAGTGTTATATCAATATTTAATTAGACTTTCCAAGAAAGAACATTCAACTGATGTGCAGTTTGAATAGATAGCTTTGTTTTCTTCATGAAACATTCATGTAGATTCTAAGCAATATTCATAGGCGGAAAGTGCATTAGCTAGCAACAGCAGGCAAATATAACCTCATTTGGTTTTGTTCTGAATGACAGAGCGAAAAAAACATTCAGTGTGTGTGGTAATGTGTCTGCTTGTATGTATGTTTAATTTTACATATAATTTACATATAAAATTGTAAATAGCATTGCTTTATTTTAAATTCACTCTATTTTTTCCCCTTAAATGATGTTCACATAAACAACATAAGTTAAATTATGAATTGGATAGATACAAAAAAAGACAAATTTTATATTGAAAATTAAGTTTGTTTAATTTTGATTCGCCTTAAACAAACTGTATGTCTGGTATATAATTATTCATCAATTAACATAAACTGACAAATAAAAAAAAATTACACTGAAACATCTCATGAGAAATAAAACTCCACTCCCTTTGTACATTACGAATGCACTTCCGATTAACCATCCCTTTACAGTGACATAATAACTACAACACTGATTATATTTCTATTCAACTCACACCCAATCAAAGTGGGTACTAAAAATAGCTTGTAAAACAATAACGCTAATAATATACCGTGCACATTTTGTATACAGATTTTTTTTTTAAATTCTTATCTCTATCACCAAGTCTTCACATTCGTGCAGTTTTTTCAATTAACATTGACTTGGGATCATGTGCATACAATTGTACATGTAAGGTGTTTGTCTACTGGTATTCAACCAGATTTAATTAAGTCAATCATATGCAACAAAAAATTGTCGTCTCGTTAATTAGGTAGGGTTAAAGATTCGATCAGGTAACTAAACTTCAATGCTCCCATTGTTCACAAACTGCTGACATCATTTTAGAATATCTGTAAAATATTCTTTTTACATTTTTTACGACTGAAGATTTTCATTGAAGAACAATTAAGACATCTCACCTGTGTGCCATATGTTACAGCTAGGTCATTATTAATTTAAGATGCAGTAATTTACTAACGAATGTGAATAATTAACCGAACATTTGATGGTGATCTTTTTCTTTAATAGTTTCTGCTTCTCAATTCATGTTTTGTTGGAAATTTAGGATTTTCTTTTTTAAAATATAAACAGTATTTGTGAAGATCATTATTTTAAAGAAGGATACCAGAGTAATTTGGGAGTTTTATTTTTATTATCAATTATTGTTTTTTGCAAATTGTTTAATTGTGTTTTTACGATACTACATCAGTTCAAATTGTTTCTCTTCCAAATTTTATGCAAAACATTATATATATACAGTACTTGATCATAAAACAAAGTGAAAATACAATTTCTTAATTTTTATTTTGAATTGTGTGACTTCTTCATATTTGCCTACATCAATGCTTGTAAGATTATATCAATAAAAGTATGAACGTTTTACATCCTAAACTGAATATTTTCGTTTCTTATTCTGAGCCGTTAGTCATGCAAAACCAAATTTATTTTATTTGTTTGTTTAAGACGCCCGATTTAGCTTTTTGATACCCGATCATGTTGGGATAGTCTACTGCTGGGAAGGAGCTGAAGGGCTAGTTAAGACTGATATACGAGGGGAAGACCGGACAGGACAAGAGGGGGAGGATACAGTATCCACACGTGCACTAAAGTTCACCGGATAAATGAAGATCATACCGTACTTCACAAACATAACAATAGATTTGTTTGCAAGCATCTTTATAGCCAAACTATAGCCTACTTATTACTGGTATCAAACCGCTCAGCGTAAGTACGGTTTGTCACATGAAACGACATACCCAATATTTTCCCCGAGATATACCTGCTTAAGGGTGGATTAATTTCACGAAGTAAAGACGGTACGAATTACACTAATTGAATTAAGGGCCTACTTGGACAGATGGAGAGAAACAAAATTAGGGGGTTTGTTGGTAAAACGACACAGGCAAAGCCATTGTGCTTTCTCAACTGTATCAGCAAAAATATACCCTTCCTTAAAACTCCACCACAGAGTTTCTTTGCTCATTGACAGAGCTAATTACGGGTAGATTTACGACTAGCCAAGACCATATAGCTTAACAGTTGTTTCCATCAGTTTGCTTTGGTCACATTGAAGAATCCACACCTTATTATCATAAGAAGTTTACTTAAAGGCTAGAAAATGAAGTGAAACAAACTTCAGGTTAGGCTTCGGAATCATTTTTGTGACAGATTAAATAACCTTTTAAAAGGTATTTGTAATAAATTGACACAATTTGTTTTAATGTTTAATGTATAATTTTTCTATATTATGATTATGTCGTTTTTAAAAAAAGTCTTTGTTAGCACAACAGCGTTGTTTATATACTTTTCTATCAAATACTTTTGTATTTCTTCATTTACTTTCAATTCCTGAAGCCTGCATAAGTGCGCTTGGCATTTCTCCTAAAACTTGGTCCGTATTTAACATTTCTATAACTTTTGAATAAAAATAATTTGCTACATAATCTGAACATTGAGCAGGGCAAATGATTAAAACACGTGGCTTATACAGGTCTTTCTAAATATGTTAAAAAAGTATGTAGGAAACCCAACGAAAAAGTATCCTGTTCCCAATTAAGTAACACAAAAAGGAAGTTTAGCGACACTCAACAAAGGGACGTTGGTATATTAGTGCACACCGTGACGTGGATTTGGCAGCCATGGTGTTAGCGGCTGTCACTCAGCCTTATCTCGAGGTGGTATGTGAAAGGTTTGTCTTAATGCGCATTCAGCATAGCCAGCGACCTG